TTGTAAATTCCACTTGTTCAATGCCATTGTAAGTTTGAATAGTCGCTAAATGAGTGGTCATTAAACAAGGACCACTTGACTAGGAACAGTAACTACCAGTTCTCTGCAATTGCAGCTGGAATCAAGCTATTAACCAGTGCACCTTAATAATATCCAGTTATAAATCTCTAGGCTAAAGGATGATGCTATAAAGATTATCTTTCAGCGTCTGGATGCAGTGTGGTCTGTATAGGGAAAAAGAGGCTTTGGTTCAATCTGAGCCAGATCAAATGGTTATGGGGGTTTGGGTTGATACTGGATGGGACTATATTCCCCTAGACAGATTTGGTGTGTAATTTGGTGGTGGTCTTGAACTCTCAGGTCTTACAGGAAGAGCCAGTGGTAGCCATGACCAGGAGAACTTTTGCACAAATCCATATTATGCATCAGTCCTGCTAGTTCCTAAACTGGGTGGCCCTGTTCATAGATACTTGTGTCCTGTTCACCTGCTGTATGGTGTACGTGGGCTGTCCTTCAAAACCACCTGAAAACTGCATTTGGTTCAGAATATACTATAATGGTACAAGTGGTTATAAGCCCACTTTGGGATGACCCTGCAACACTGCTGCTTTACAAGCTGAACTGGTTAGTTTCAGCACCTGTACTCTTGATATTTTAACAGCTATGTTAATCAAAGAGGATTTGGTATAATCCTCTTATACCAGTTAGTATCCAATACAGCAGCCAGATTCTTAGTTCAAGCAATGAAAGTATGACTAGGTCATTTTGTTACCCAACCACCCCTCCCCCCAAAAGGATTGTAGTGCCTTGGATTGTGGTTGGCAAGAATTCTGATGCAAGACTGATAGTCACTCAGAGGAAAATCCACATTTCAGAGGAAAATCCACATAGATCAGACATGTCAAACTCACGATGTCATATGATGTCGCGCAATGTATCGGGACTCTTGCCATTGCCAGCAATGGGGTGGGCGCAGCTTCTGCGTGATGTGTACGGCCCGTGGGCTGGCAATTTGACACCCGTGACATACATCATGGTGCTGTAGGTCACCCTTCCCAGCCTGACCCTCTTCAGATGTATTGGACTACAGTTCCTATAGGCATGTCTGGGTGATCAAAGGCTTTATAATTCTACATAGCATATTTTTTGTTATAATACATTGGTATACATTAGCTACTGTTTTAGTACTTACATTTACCTAGATGTATAAAAGTAAGGTGGAATTACCAAGCAGAAGTAACTGAGTAACTAAGTAACAAGTGCTTACAGTGCTCATGAAAGTCCTAAAAAGTCTGCAGCAATGTTTAGGCTCAGCCTGAGAAATAGATAATGCCACAAATACAGGAAAGCCTCTTGCAATAGCAGTTAGAGGAAATAAATTGATGACTTTCAAAAGTCCAGATTCCTCTTTCTCACCCTGCCCCCAATTTCCATTGGATATGTTATAAAATTAGGACTGATATTTTGTGAGGTGGTAGGAAGAAGTAGAGATTATTTACCAGCCTCCTGGGATTATAGCCAACAGACACTGGCAAGCATCCTGCTGGGGTGGGAGCTGCAGGCTTGAAAGAGATTGGATCAGATGAAAAGGCTTTGGGGGCTAAATTTTTCCATGGGGAGCCAACAAAGCAGGGTTAGAAACAGATTGTTTTCTTCGCAAATAAGCAGCTGGGAGAATGCTGGATTGCATTCCCTTAGTTGGTTTTTCTGCACCACTACTCCCCAAAAAGGTGGCCAAATAAATTGTGCGGTGTTTTTTTTTAAAAAAAGCATAAATATATAGTATGTATTTGACCCGCAGATGCATTTCTGTGTGAAACTGTATGTGTGTGTGCGTGTGCGTTTCTTCTTAGATCTCTTTCTTGGGATGCCCAGTGGCCAAAGTTAAGCTGTTCCCCTTCAATTTGATAATAGCCTAGAGCAGTGTTTCTCAACCTTGACAATTTTAAGGCATGTGGACTTCAACTCCCAGAATTCCACAGCCACCAATGCTGGCTGTGGAATTCTGGGAGTTGAAGTCCACATGCCTTAAAATTGTTAAGGTTGAGAAACACTGGCCTAGAGGGCCTCCAGCAGATATAAGGTGAAGAGAGGGAAGAAGGGTGCTATCATGTTTCCCCAAAAATAAGACCTATCCCGAAAATGAGCCCTGCGTTGATTTTTACACGTGCGCCTAATATAAGCCCTATCCCCCAAATAAGCCCGTTAAGAGCCTGCGTGGCTAGCCGCC